GTGTATTTTACTACTCGTCGTTTCTGGAACACACGAACCAAGTCGAATTCTCCAGATTCCACATAATTACTCAAGTCAACATTTAGACTTCGATTTGTGATATCAACTTGAAACCCTTTAAAAAATTGCTCTAATATTAAAAAAGCAAAATTGATTCGTCCAGAAAGGTGCATCGAAATGATTTGCTAAATGTTTTGATTATTCTGCTAATTAGAGTATGAAATTAAATTTTGAAACTAATTTTTATTTTGGATTCTTATTTAAATGCAACGAATAGGTGAAGGTGAGCACTTCGGAATCGAAGGACCTGGCATATCTGCTCCTGACTTATTGAAGCATTTCGGTAGCATCACTAATATGAGATATTAATACTCACACTGACCGCCCAGACAGACTCAGTATTTTAGAAATTCAAAAAATTAAGTATTTAAATACATAGAAACAATTGAGTTTACCGTGATAAGTCCATGATCCAAATTTCAGAGCACAGTGTTGACTATCGAACGGGAAATAAGTTACGTCAATTTTGCACGTACTGCGTAACTGGGTTGGTGGTGGCCAGAATACAGTACCATCGTAAAAGAGCATCGCTCGACTACGCATGTAACCAACCGTATAATCGTCTGCACTGAATTTTTTGCACATTTTTATTTTTCTTTAAAAAACTTCGGTTCCAAACGCTTTTTTTGCCTCCTGACGCTTAACGTATAATGTAAGAGAGAGTAGAAAAGTGTACGCCATCGTAAAAATTTGAGCGTCATCGATTCGGAAGGAAAAAAGACGATGAAAGAAGAAGCTGTGGAAGCATACAAAGTGCCCAGGTGTTTTTGAAATTTCCTCCTGCTTTAGTCGCTTGCAGTCTCTCCTCAACTGATCCTCATATTTTTCCGAATAAAAAAAAGCATAATTTCCGAATAATTTTCCAGAGAGCCTGGCAGTTCTTCTATAACATGTGGCGTCTGTTTGAAGAACCAAATTTTTGGGGAAAAAGCGAATTTTTCAAAAAAAAAAAAGGCGCACTTCCTCTTTCGTGTTTTTTCAATGCCGTTTGATGCCGTTTATCGTGAAAATTTTACTACAAAGAGAATTCTAAATTTACTTATTGTAAAGAACAATATCCGGCAGCCATATCAGATCGCATGGTACTCGCATTGATTCAATTCCACCAAACTCTTTCGGATCCCATACCAGTAATTCGTCTTTCCATTCCTGCACAGAAAAGTGAAGCTGGCGGAGTGGAAAGCAAATTTTATAGCTAAAGCTTTTATAATTCAAAAACTGAGTTCAGGAAGATCGTTTAACATTAACTTAAAAACTAAGTTCAGAAAGAACATTTGGTACTACTACATATTCAAAGAGAAACTATCTCAGAGAACTCAGTTGTCTTGATTTAATTGTCTTCAAGTTTTATTCGTCGTCTGCGGAACGTACTTGTACTGCCAAGTAGTTATAGTCTACTTCACGAGTGCCACATTGTGAAAAATTTTAAACTCATTGAAATGAGACCGTTTTTCGAGGAATGTGATTTGCAAGTTATCTTCCACCAGAAAATTGTTTCAAAAAAGGAACCAGTAAAACCAACCTGATCCAGCCAAACATTTATTGTCAGCACTTGGTTTTTTTCATCCTAAAATTAAAACTTATTTCGTATTTATGCACTTTTTTTGGATTTAAATTGGTGAATAAGTAAAGGAGATTCATCGATGGCCTTACCAGAAGATGCCTGTCACGTAGGC